AAAAAAAAAAAAAAAAAAATTTCAAAATATATTTTAAAATATTCAGTCATAATCCACCCAGACATGAGTAACAATAATTAACAATTTGTAGGGGCCGGCCCGTGGCTCACTCGGTAGAGTGCGGTGCTGATAACACCAAGGCCACGGGTTCGGATCCCATATAGGGATGGCCGGTTTGCTCACTGGCTGAGCGTGGTGCTGACAATAATTAACAATTTGTTATATTTTTTTCTTTGCATTTACTGAGTGTATTCATTTTTTTAAACAAAACTGGGATCACAGTGTAATATACTTTTCTTGTATTGTATCAGGATATCATATCATTAAATATCTGTCAAAAACATGGTTTGTAATGGCTTCCCAATATCCCATCATTTATATTATACTATACTTCAATCATTCCCCTATTATCAGATATTTAGTTTCTAAAATTTTGCTAGTACAAAGGATGCGGTGATAAACAACACTGTCCTTAAAACCTCAAATAACCTATGATCAAAGTAGTACAAGAAAACAGATTTCGTTAACTACTTATAGTAGTACTCATCACTTCAAACTCTCCCTTTCCACATTAAAAATCATTTGTTAATTACAGGTACCATTTACTAGCCCACACTATGTAAGGCATTTTACATATATCATCTCACTAGATCTTAAAAAATGTCTGTGATGTTGATATGGTATCAAATTAAAAAAAAAAAAACAAAAAAAACCCCTGAAGATCAGAAATAAAAAATTAAATAAATTGCCCAACAGATGTCATAATATGATAAGCATCACAACTGAACACTATTCAGACTCCAAAGCTTAAGTTCTTTTCCACTAAACCCTATGTCCTCTCTCAAAAAATAAGTAAAATAGGGCCGGCCTGTGGCTCACTCGGGAGAGTGCGGTGCTGATAACACCAAGGCCACGGGTTCGGATCCCATATAGGGATGGCCGGTTAGCTCACTGAGTGAGCGTGGTGCTGAAAAAATAAGTAAAATAGGGCCGGCCTGTGGCTCACTCGGGAGAGTGCGGTGCTGATAACACCAAGGCCACGGGTTCGGATCCCATATAGGGATGGCCGGTTAGCTCACTGAGTGAGCGTGGTGCTGAAAAAATAAGTAAAATATATGTTACTCTAGACAAATGCTGAGCATTGTGAAAGCATCAGATTTCTGTTCTTCCTTTGTTGCTCTAACTTTTCCAATGTAGGGTAGGATCGGTCATAAAATGCAAACTTTAAGGCTGGCCAGTTAGCTCACACAATTAGCGCACAGTACTGTTAACACCAAGGTCAAGGGTTTGGATCTCCAAGCTGGCCAGCTGCCCAAAAAAAAAAAAAAAAAATGCAATCTTTAATTTAGGAATATAGATTTTCAATACTGAATACTATGGAAAAACCTCTGATCTCAAGAACCACAAAACTGGGGATTTAAGAAGCAAAACAATTCTAACTCCACAAATTTTTTAGTGTACGTGTAAATGGACATCTTACCGTCTTAGAACGCCAACACCTACAATAAGCTGCTTTAGTAAGACACAGATCTTCAATGTTTATTTCATTCACCACTTTTGGATTTTCCTTTTGTATTTTAAGATTAATCAAGCTATCCTTCTGTTGCTTTTTCTTCGGGAGGAATGGACGAACTGCAAGGTAGCCAAGTAGTGCAAGTACACCAAGGAAAGGCAATAACCGAAGCCATTCTGAAACTAAACATGAACATATTTGTTAGAATCTGCAATGCTCTTGTAAAATAACTCAAAGTAGCATGTCTGGTTTCATCTTTGAGCTTATTCTCTTTATGAGATACTTCTCACATTAATTTCTCATTTAACTTATCTGTAAAACTGTGAATAAGTCAGCTCCACACATAGGAACACCTTATTTTATTTATGGGCTAACTTGAGACTTATGAAACTGGAAACCTAAATTTTCAGAAATAGGTCCTATTTCAAATATCCTATTTCACTGTCTCTATTAAGTATATTTGTGTTTCTACTTTTATCTTAGGAATTACAACCACCATAATTATAAACAAAATACAATGTGTGATATATTTTATACATTGAGAAAACATTTTCACTCTTTTCTCCTTAATACTATGACTAAAATCATACAACAGAATATCCATAAAATTTTTATCACTGATTTATAATTTCAGACACAACATGTCTTCAATGCTCTAATTTACTTGTTTTTGGTAACTGTCCCTAAAGAACACTGAAATGTTATGTAAAGCTACAATTTTTAAAAACTAATTGAAACTTTCATATACTGAATGTTCTCATTTTAAGATACACTTCATTACATAAGCATTCAATAAATGCCTTTTGGAGTACCCAGCCCGTTTTAAGAGGACATGGAACATAAGTGATATAAATGAAATGGTCGCTATGCCTGTGGAGATAAATACAGTAGGAAACCAAGATAAACATTTCAGCACACATTTATCAAATGTCTGCTAGTGCCTTGCTTCTGCTGGGCTCTGAAGGGAATCCTTTCTGCTCTTAAAGAGTTACCATTTAACTTTCTTCACTGAGTGCCTACATGACAACTTGCTAGGCACTATGCAGAAATAGCTTTGTTGAGAAAAGAGAAAAACAGGAGATTATGTGCTAAGGCATGCTAATAAATATAATGACAAATGAATAGACTATGCTAAGAGTAGAACCGTACTCTCTCATATAACACAGTGTTTGCTTAAACAACTGTATTTGGTAGGTAACATTATTATTCCCATTTTACATGTGGGTAAACTGCAACTTAAGCAGGTTTAGTCCAGTACAAAGTCCAAAGCCTGTTATCAATCACCATAAAGAGAGTTTTACTCTCTTAGTAAAACTATTCTCAAGAGATGATTGTTCTTATTAACTACTGAAAGACTCACTTAATATCAACACTTCCAAAATGAAATTATTTTTGATATAACACCATGCCAAAGAGATTAAATGAAACAACCTATTTATATACCACATGTATAGCACCTATAAGAGTGGCTGGCACAAAGACGATATACAATAAATGGTAGCTTTCATTAAAAGATTACAGAGATTGGTGAGGAATTAGTAGCAACCCCTTAGAAAAAATGTTTTGCCAAATCAGTGTGACAATGTTATATGGCAGAAATGTTTGGAGATATAATCATTTAGCCACCAGAAGGAAGCTCTGTAAGGGTAAGGATTTTATCATGTTAGGTGCTACATCCTCATAACCAAAGTAAAGACGCTCTAGATAGAGTCTTTGAATGAATTAAAGTTCTGTAGATGACACAAAATTGTTTTTAAATCTGTTCTATCTAAAATGGTAGCCACTAGTCACATTGTTTTGATTTGTATCCAAGATTTTCTTTTTTCATAAAAGCGGCTGGCCAGTACAGAAAGATTTTCTTTTAATGAGAAATGATAGGATGACAAACATGTAGACAACTGCCTTGAAAGAAAAGTTTGCTTACAGATTACAAGAGAAGGGAGCATGCCATGCCAGGCAGGGCCAGACCAGCAAGTACCAGGGTTAGTCAGGAGGAAGAGGTGAATGGAAAGCAGGGGCATAAGTCTTTATTGTGGTTTCCGTGTAAAAGGCAAAGCAGGGTAGGGTAAACAGTTTAGGACTGGCTAGCTTGAATAATTTCACTGGGCTCTGGGCTGTAGGGAGTGGGCTCTGATCTGTAGGAGTGGTCCCTGGGGTGATTTAGGGAAGGGAAAATATTGGCTTGGTACATGACAGTTAGATAAAAGAAGTGGTTGGGGGTATGGGCTTTGGCTTGGTTAGTTTGCATATGAAAAGTATGCTGAAGGCCGGCATGTGGCTCACTTGGGAGAGTGTGGTGCTCACAACACCAAGTTAAGGGTTAAGATTCCCTTACCAGTCATCCTTTTTTAAAAAAAAAAAAAAGAAAAGCATGCTCATAGGCAAGTTGTTTAACAGCTCTAGGAATTAAATTAGCTAGCCCTTGGATGGGCAATCTCTCCATAGCCTGCAAGGCCCCCAGGATGTCAAAGCATCATAAAATACATAAAATAAAAAACATGATTAATACACATGTGACTACTTACATGTAAATAAATTAAAATTAAGTAAAATTTAAAACTTAGTTTCTAAGACACACTGGTCACCTTTCAGGGGCTCAACAGCCAGCCACATGTGGCTAGTAGCTACTGTATTCAACAGCACAGAGAATATTTCCATCACTGCAAAGTTCTTTGAATATTGCTGCTATACATCACTGGTTCTATAAAGAATCATCTCCATAGCATGGCAAGGCTGCTTTTCCAGCTTCAGCTCCCACATGTACAATATCCAACATCCTCATTTACCTGAAGCCAGCCAAAGCTACTGCCTAATAGGAACCTTCCTGTATTCTTTGCATATGCAGTTCCTTCCACATGCAATGCCTTTCTACCTCTGGTTTATCTAATTTGTATGAACCCTTCAAGACTATGGTCAAATATCTCCTCCAGAAGTCTTCCTTGATTTCACTAAGCAGAATTAATCACTTCTTCCTATGATTCCAAGCCCCTTTCCTCATGTTCTGTTATCACATTACTGTTATTTGTTTCTAAAGTTGTCTCCTCCATAAGTTTGTGAAGAAAGGTGCTGTGTTCTTCTCTTCCTGGAACAAAGTAGATGAGATGCCTTACAAACGTTTAATGAGTGACTTGATGAATGAATGGAGAGCACAAATTGTCAGACCCTTTATCACTCACCACATTTTTCTATAATTTTCATTTACATTTATCTTCTAGATCAGGCAATGAATGTCTTAGGTTACAATTGGCCCCAGTATCCAATATACATATTCAAACAGCAGACATTCAATAAATGTTTGTTGAATGTTGAATAACTTAAGTATTATTCTACATATTACAATAAAGTCACAAGAGGTTAAATTGTCAAAAAGCAAATAACTGAGAATGTAAAAAATGAAAACCTTACTTTAGACTTTTAAATTTAGCATGTCCTTTCTTAACCCACAAATCTCAAGGAACAAATTAATTAATACTGTTTTAAAATCTACTTCAGAAAATGTTTTTTAACAGCTAATTCTTTGGTACAACACTACTTTAAAATAACACAATAATGAGAGATACTATTATCTCCTACAATAAAGTAATAACTTATAAAACAGTCTTAGTACAGTCTACTTTTTAAAGATGATCAACTACAATTTCACCACAGAAAAGCTTTATAAATGAAAATAATATAGCCTGTGAAATTCAATTCAAATCACTTTAAGTATATTTATTAAGGCTGATTTTTTGTGAAGAAATATAAAATATACAAGAATCAAACAAGAAATTTTTTAAAAACTTTAATATTTCCTATGAACCTGTTTGATGTATGTTGAACTGTTACAGATACCATAGATACTTTGAAGGGGAAAACATTACCTAATGGTATGGTTTGAATGTCTGTTCCCTTCCAAACTCAGGCTGAAACTTAATCTCCACTGTAACAGTGTTAAAAGGGTGGAAAATCTAACTATGGTATTTGAAAGGTGGGGCCTGTAAAAGGTGTTTAGATTATAAGGGGTCTGTCCTCATAAATGGACTAATCCATTCATGGACTCATGGATTAATGGAATAAAGAGTTAATCATATCATGGGAGTAAACTTTTGGCTTTATAAGAAGAGGAGAGACCTGGGCTAGTATGCGCCAGCCTCCTCACCATGTGATGCCCTGTGCCACCTCACGACTCTGCAGGGAGTCTCCACCAGCAAGAAGACTGTCACCGTATGTGTCCCCCCCAACCCTCCCAGCCTCCAGAACTGTAAGAAATAAACCTCTTTTCTTTATTAATTACTCGGTTGTAGGTATTCTGTTATAAGTAACAGAAAACAAAGACACCTACTAATTGTAAATAATGTACAAAATCTTTAAGATAACGTATATTTTATACAGCATATTTTAAATTTTTGTTTTAGGATTATAAAAATAACATTTATTGTGCAAAAATTTTTAAATTTTTTAAATTATAAAAAACAAAACAAAGTTACTTATAATCCTACCACCAAGAGTTGGTAACATTTTGGTATATTTCTGTCTTTTTTAGTGTATAAATATATGTTTGTAAATGCTTTAAAAAAATGAAAACACATTGTGTATATAGTCTATAGCTTACCTTTTCACTTAATAGTATATCAGATTATTACACCATTTTCCCAATTCTTTAGTATTATTTGAAAACATGAATTTTAATGAGTGCCTCCACCTATCAGGTCCTCCAATCATAATATAAGATCCATAACAGCAAGGACCTTATTTTGTCTGTGGCCCCACTATATTCTCAGTGCCTAAATAATGCCAGGCTCAATTTTTTCATTTTCTTTTTATTGAAGCATAATTGACAGTTCAGTTTGTTGAGCTTTGTGTTAAGCGTTCAATTTGATGAGTTTTGAAACTATATGAACCTACAACACCACCAAAAACAAAATGTAAGTTATTTCTATCACCCCAGAAAATTTGTTCATGTCAATCCCCCCTTTCTGGTTTTTATCATCAATATAAGTGCTTAATAAACATTTTTGAATAAAAAATCTGATCATTTCCTACTGTTAAACAATTTTTCAATTTTTTATTATATAATTATTAGTTACTATAAAATTACTAAATTTTTACTATATAATTAAGTACCTACTGTGAAGAGATACTGTGCTAATGCAAGTGCAGCAGCTGTCTTATTTGTCTCTATGTACCCAGTGCTTAATACAGT